AACAAATGAAAACTGGAAACACAACATATCCAAACCTATGGTATACAGAAAAAGTAGTGCTAAGAGAGAAGTTGATAGCAATAAATGCCTACATCAAAAATGCAGAAAGATTACAAATTAATAATCAAAGGATGAACCTCAAGCAACTTGAAAAGCAAGAACAAACCAAACAGTAGCAGAAGAGAGAACAAAGATCAGAGCAAAACTAAATTAAATAGAGACTAAAATAACAATACAAAGGCTTAACAAAACAAAAACTTGGTTCATTGAAAAGATAAATAAAATTGATAAATCGCTATCTAGACTAACCAAGAAGAGAGAAGACCCAAATAAACAAAATCAGAAATGAAAAAGAAGATATTACAACTGATAGCACAGAAATACAAATGGTCATCAGAGACCATTATGAACAATTATACACTCACAAACTAGAAAACGTAGAGGAAATAGATAATTTCCTGGAAACATACAACCAACCAAGATTGAACCAGGAAGAAATAGAAAACCTGAACAGACTAATAACAAGTAGCAAGATTGATTCAGTAATAAAAATCTCCCCCACCCCAACACCACCAAAAAAAAAAGCCTAGGACTGGATGGATTCACAGCCAAATTCTACCCAGTCGTACATACAAAAGAGAACTAATACCAAGCCTCCTGAAACTATTCCAAAGAATTGAGAAGAATGGATTCTTCCTAACTCGTTCTATGAAGCCAGTATCACCCTAATACCAAAAACGAGACAAGGACCCAACAAAAACAGAAAACTACAGACAAATATTCCTGATGAACATAGATTCAAAAATCTTCAACAGAATACTAGCAAACAGAATCCAACAGCACATCAAAAAGGTAATACACCATGATAAAATCAGTTTTAAACCAGTGATGCAAGGATGGTTCAACATATGCAAATCAATAAATGTAATACATCACATCAACAAAATGAAAGACAAAAACCATATGCAGAAAAAGCATTTGATAAAATCCGACATCCCTTCATGATAAAAAACCTCAACAAACTAGGCAGAGAAGGAACATACCTCAAAACAATAAATGCCATATACAAAAATCCCACAGCTAATATTATACCGAATGGGAAAAAGTTGAAAGCAATCCCCCAAAGAACAGGAACAAGACAAGGATGCCCATTTTCACCCTTCCTATTCAACATAGTACTGGAAGTCCTAGCCAGAGCAATGAGGTAAGGGAAAGAAATAAAAAGCATCCATACTGGAAAAGAGGAAGTCACATATCTCTGTTTGCTGATATATATATGTATATATATTCAGAGATGGGGTCTCATTCTGTCATCCAGGCTGGAGTGCCATGGTGTAATTATAGCTCACTGTAGCCTTGGCCTCCTGGGCTCAAGGGATCCTCCCATCTTAGCCTCCCGAGTTGCTAGGACTACAAACATGTGCCACCACACTGAATAATGTTTTTGTCTTTTGTAAAAACGGGCTTTTGCTATGTTCAAGCAGGTCCCAAACTCCTGGCCTCAAGCGATCATCCTGCCTTGGCCTCCCAAAGTGCCGGGATTACAGACATGAGCCACCATGCCTGAATCCCAATATAATCTTATATCTAGAAAAATCTAAAGACTCCACAAGAAAACTCTTAGATTTGTTAAATGAATTCAATAAAGTTACAGGATACAAAATCAATGCACAAAAATCAGTAGCATTTCTATACACTAATAACAGTCTAACTGAGAAAGGAATCAAGAAGGCAATTCCATTTATAATACCTTTAAAAAACACATAGGAGTAAATGTAACCAAGGAGGTGAAAAAACTGTACAAGAAAAACTACAGAACACTGATGAAACCAATTGAAGATGACACAAACAAATGGAAAAACATCACAGGCTCATGGATCAGAAGAATTAATATCTTTAAAATGACCATGCTTCTCAAAACAATCTACAGATTCATTGCTCTCCCTATCAAAGTACCAACTCACTTTTCACAGAATTGGGAAAAATAATCCTAAAATTCATATGGAACCAAAAAAGAGTCCAAATAGCCAAAGCAATCCTGAACAGAAAGAACAAAACTGGAAACATCACATTACCTGACTTCAAATGATATTATAGTTTGGTGCAAAAGTAATTTACCATTTTTGCTATTACTTTCAGTGGAAAAGACAGCAATTACTTTTGCACCAACCTAATACAAGGCTATAGTAACCAAAACAACATAGAACTGGTATAAAAACAGATACATAGATCAATGGAATAGAGGAGAGGAGCCAGAAATAAAACCATGTACATATAGCCAACTGATCTTTAGCAAAGCTGATAAGAACATATATTGTGGAAAGGATATCATCCTCTTCAATTAATAGTGCTGGCAAAATTGGAGAGCCATATGTAGAAAAATGAAGCTGGACCCCTATCTCCCATTGTACACAAAAATCAACTCATCATGGATTAAAGACTTAAACATAAGACCTAAAACTATAAAAATACTAGAAGAAAACCTAGGGGAAACTTTTCTGGATATTGGTCTAGGCAAAGAATGTATGACTAAGACCACAAAAGCACAGGCAACAAAAACAAAAATAGACAAATGGGACTTAATTAAACTAAGAAGCTTCTGCACAGTAAAAGAAATAATCAACAGAGTGAAGACATAAGCTGTTGAATGGGAGAAAATATTTGCAAACTATTCATCCAACAAGGGACTAATATCCAAAATACACAAGGGAGTCCAACAATTCAACAACAACAAAAAATAAGTAATCCCATTAAAAAGTGGGCAAAGGGCTGGGAGTGGTGGTTCATGCCTGTAACCCCAGCACTTTGGGAGGCAAGGCAGGAAGATTGCTTGAGCCCAGGAGCTTGACATTAGCATGCGCAACATGTCAAAACCCATCTCTTCAAAAAATTAGCCAGATGTGGTGGTGTGCACCTGTAGGCCCCAGCTACTTGGGAGGCTAAGGTGAGAGGACTACTTGAGCCCACAGGCCAAGGCTGTAGTGCACTCCAGCCTGGGCAACAGAGTGAGGCCCTGTCTCAAAAAGAAAGAAAGAAAGAGAGAGAGAAAGAGAGAAAGAAAGGAGGGAGGGAGGGAGGGGAGAAGGGAGGAAAAAGCACTTGGAAAAGGATATGAATAGAGATTTTTTTAGAAGAAGACATACAGTGTCCAACCGGTATATTTAAAAATGCTCAAAATCACTAATCATCAGAGAAGTACAAATCAAAACTACAATAAGATATTATCTTACCCCACTCAGAATGACTATTATGAAAAAGACAATAACAGATACTGGCAAGGATGCAGAGAAAGGAGAACTCTTATACACTGTTGTCAGGAATGTAAATTAGTACAGCCTCTAACGAAAGCAGTATGGAGATTTCACAAATAACTAAAAATAGAACGACCATTCAGTCCAGCAATCTCTGTGCTAGGTATCTACCCAAGGGAAAATAAATCAATACATCAAAAGATACCTTCATTTTTATGTTGTTTGCAACACCATTCACAACAGCAAAGATATGGAATCAACCTAAGTGTCTGTCCAATGGATAAATGAATAAGGAAAATATGGGATATGTACACAATGGAATACAATTCAGCCATAATAAAGAATGAAGTCATGTCTTTTCCAGCAACGTGGATGAAACAGGAGGCCATTATCTTAAGTGAAACAAGCCAGGCACAGAAAGACATGTAGTGCTTGTTTTCATTCATAAGTGGGTGCTGAAAAAATGTGTTTAAATGGGCATAGACAGTGGAATGATAGATAATGGAGACTCAGAAGAGTGAGGAGCGGTGGGAGAAGGGACAATAATGAGAAATTGGTTAAAGGCTAAAATGTACATTATTTGGGTGACTGACACCCTAAAAGCCCTGACTTGATCACCAATCCACACATGTAACAAAATTGTACATGTACTCCATAAATGTGTACAAATAAAAAAGAAAAAGAAGAAATTCAAAGTATTGGGCCCCACTCCAGGTCTACAAATCTACATTTTTAAGAGATCACCAGAATAATTCGTAGGTACATTAAAATTTGAGAACACTGCTCTAGACAACTGAGGTAGTACTATTAGCCACAAAGCACAGCAGATATTAGAACTGAAAAGAATTAACAAAGTTCAAGTTTTGGTGGTGTTCTCCAGTAGATTTGGGGAATTTCCTGAAGAAGGAGTTGTCACTTATTACACGAGTTTGAAAGTGAAGTTCCATCCATTTGTGCCTGCAGATATGGGTGTGTTCTGTGTATTTCCATTTTACTAGATTCTTTGTGCTCATGTTTTAATTGTATTCATGTTTTATCAATATCAAAGGAATAATGTTGAAAAATGTTAAAATCCTTGCATCACATAGCAATTTTGGGATGTTTCTTTTTTTAATTTTAAAGACTTTATTTGATTAACTTATACTTAAATTTTGGTTTTATGGGTTAAAGAAACTCTTTCCATAGGTGTGAATTAGCAATGGAGGAAGACTTAAATAGCCACGTCAAAATAGGCAGAGGTGGTTTCTCCTTTTATATTTAAATCATAAAGCAAAACTCCACAGCAAAAGTTACTTCTTTGACTAGTTTTAATCCATAAATGTCACTAAAAAGTCAATTTGATGTCACATTCTGGAAGACAATGTCATTTATTTTATTCCTATTTTAGAAACTATTGGAACCTCTTTTTTATACTTTGTTCAGGATTCATTACATCATCTTACCAACTTTTAGTATAGGACAGTGGTTTATTTTTAACATAAAACAGTGGTATACACATTCCAAAGCAACAGATCAAACATTTTTGCCAATTATTTGGTCTTTAATATTTGTTTACACATATTCCCTTAAGAGCTTTTATTATTTCTTCTTGTTTCAATGTATTTTCCTTATTAAAAGATAAATATGTAGTATTTAATTCCCCCTATTTCTCAGTAATTTAAAGTAATATTTCATTACTTCTAAGCAGTTTGATACAACATTTTGCTATTTTGGAAACATTGCTGATTTGGCTGTCTTCTACCTGTCCAGGAGCAAGAACCACCTGAGAAAAGTGATCCTAAACAAGAAGAATCTCAGATATCTGGGAAGGAGGAAGAGACATCAGTCACCATCTTAGTATGTAATATTTTTCATATACTATTGGATTCCTACAAATAATTATATTGCCCAATTTAAAATTGAACTCTAAATATGAATGTCTATTATCTTTATTGTCAAAATTATGATTTTACTTTTCCAGATAATTAACATCAGTGATAAACTAACTGGTAGATCATTTTCAGCCATGCCTCTTATGATCAAAAACTCATTTTTCCCTTAAAAATTAAATCTTATTTTTCAAGATTGTTAATGGATGGAAAAATCTCCCTATGAGGAAGGGCAGACAAAACTCACAGGCCTAGTCATGATCCTTCAGATTCATCTTCCACTTTGGGAATTTTTCACTAATTGGTGCTGTCACCACTACACAATAGCAAATGTTCAGAGATAACAAAAGGAAAAATCACAGGGAATTACATACAGCCAAAATAATGGCTTTACAACAATGTGGCTTATTTGTCTTCCATGCATAACCCTGTACAAAAATGCCTTTGTGCCTGATGTCCTACATCCAAGCAGTCAAGACATAGCAGAGGCCAGGTGCAGTGGCTCACGCCTGTAATCCCAGCACTTTGGGAGGCCAAGGCAGGCGGATCACGGTGAAACCCCATGTCTACTAAAAATACAAAAAATTAGCCGACTGTGGAGGCGGGCTCCTGTAGTTCCAGCTACTTGGGAGGCTGAGGCAGGAGAATGATGTGAACCCAGGAGGCGGAGGTTGTAGTGAGCCGAGATCACACCACTGCACTCCAGCCTGGGCAACAGTGCAAGACTCCTTCTCAAAAAAAAAAAAAAAAAAAAAAAAAAAGGACATACCAAAAGGCCTATGTTCGGTAATGTCACTTTAATAACTTGAAGTCAGCAACAGTGAGAATATTAAGACCATGGCAAACAGTGCAAATCAGGGTTTTGTTTCTTCTGGAGAGCCAGTTGTTAAAACACTTACCAGTATACCATTGTCTATATTCTTCATACTCCAGACTCTTGTGGACTAGGCCTCATAAGAAAGAAGAACTCAGTCTCTACAATGTCAAAGTTCAAACTTCTGAGTTCCTTTTTATGTCTTAGGTCCCAGGTAGTTGCCCAAGAACTGGCAGCCAGAATGGATATCCCCTCAAGGAATACCCTACTTCCTACCTAGTGATGCATTGCTTTTCCCTATAAGATTTACAGGTGGCCGGGCACGGTGGCTCAAGCCTGTAATCCCAGCACTTTGGGAGGCCGAGACGGGCAGATCACGAGGTCAGGAGATCGAGACCATCCTGGCTAACCTGGTGAAACCCCGTCTCTACTAAAAAATACAAAAAACTAGCCGGGCGAGATGGCAGGTGCCTGTAGTCCCAGCTACTCGGGAGGCTGAGGCAGAAGAATGGCGTAAACCCGGGAGGCAGAGCTTGCAGTGAGCTGAGATCAGGCCACTGCGCTCCAGCCTGGGCGACAGAGCGAGACTCAGTCTCAAAAAAAAAAAAAAAAAAGATGTACAGGTTATTCAATTGTATTGTTTTCTGTTATATTCAATTATATTCAATTTCCATTGTATTCATTTATATTCAATTGTACTCTGAAGATTCATGCATTTTACTGTCTGTAAATTTAGAGCTAAAAATTTATAACCAATTTTTTTTAAAAGAGGATATGTGTCAAAGTTCAACCAACCATGTTAAAACTGACATTATTGGACTAAATGGATTTTATTTATTTACTATTAGGTTGTACTGAAATAACATTAAGATATAACAGGAAGATTAACATTAAGATGTAACAGGAAGTCAAGCAAGAAGGGAGTTTTATTTCCTTACATCTTTCATAGGTGCTCTTACACAGATTTTCATGAGTTTGAGTTTGAGTAGGGATCTCATTGATTTCAAACTTGAGTGTATTTGTTTGCCTATATTAGGATGTCGTCTCGAAGAATTTTGTACCATTCTGTTTGCATCTAAAAGTTTAAGAGCTAGATTTGTCTCGTTGTTTATAATGGGGGCATAGGAGGCTTGAGCAACCCAAAGGTCCATTAATATGAGATTGAGTAAATATTAAATAAAAGTACATCAGTATAATATAATGATGTCATAAAAAAAGAATGAGCAGAGTTATACACTGACTAATAACACAGAAAAAGAGAACCAAGATATATCATTACATGGAAAAAGTAGCTGTAGAACTCTGTGATTAGCATGATCTCATTTTTAAAATAAAAAGGCACATATATATATATATATACCCATATGAATATATTTGCATATAGAGAAATTTTGGAAGGATGTAGATACTCAACTCATAATAATGGGTATCTCCCAGAGGCAGGATTTGGATAGAGGGAGAAAATTATCACTGCCAGTGACATTTGAGTTTTTAAAGTGTATACATGTCATTTCTATAATTTTAAAAGATATATTAAAAGCTATATATTCAATTGTACACTGAAGATTCATGCATTTTACTGTCTGTAAATTTAGAGCTAAAAATTTATACCCAATTTTTTTTAAAAGAGGGTATGTGCCAAAGTTCACCCAACCATGTTAAAACTGACATTATTGGACTAAATGGATTTCTCTTTGGCACCTCACTTTAAATGTATAACTATGATTAGCTAATCATTGAGAAATTGAGAAGTTATTCTAATTCATTATATATGATTGTGATTATTTTGAAACATAACATTTACTATTCTTTCTCCTTAACATTTTTACTATGCCTCAAAGATTCTTTCTTGTCCCCCCAAACCCCCCAAAAAATGTTATTGCTCAGGAAACTTAAATAGACACTATTTTGGGGGAAAGAAAGTTGGCAATGATCTTTTGTTGCAGAGACATATTAAAAGATATGTCTTTTAATATCTATCTGTATTCTTCATACTCCAGACTCTTATGGACTAGTCCTCATAGGAAGAAGAACTCACTCTCTACAATGTCGAAGTTCAAACTTCCGAGTTCCTTTTTATGTCTCAGGCGAATAAAATGCCTGCTATTTTGGCATTTGCCATTTGGTACATATACCATGTGACAATATATGAAATTCCCTCAGGAAGCAACAACTCTCAGATAGTTGCATCCCTAAATTGATTAAATTTGTTGCATTATTTTTATGGCATCAAAAATACGGCATGTTTAAAGAGTCTCTTACTTTTTCTCCTTTCGATGAAGGACTCTTCTGAGGAAGATAAGGAAAAAGAAGAGGTTGCTGCTGTCAAAATCCAAGCTGCCTTCCGGGGACACGTAGCCAGAGAGGAGGTAAAGAAAATGAAAACAGATAGTCTTCAAAATGAGGAAAAAGAGGAAAACAAGTGAGGACACTGGTTTTACCTCCAGGACACATGAAAAATAATCCAAATCCATCAACCTTCTTGTTAATGTCATTTTTTCCTGAGGAAGGAAGATTTGATGTTGTGAAATAACATTCGTTGCTGTTGTGAAAATCTGTCATGAGCATTTGTTTAATAAGCATACCATTGAAACATGCCACTTGAAGATTTCTCTGAGATCATGAGTTTGTTTACACTTGTCTCAAGCCTATCTACAGAGACCCTTGGATTTAGAATTACAGAACAAAAGCATCTGAGATTACAGAGATCTCAGAGGTTATGTGTTTTAACCATTATCAAATGAATAAATCCTCTCTATCACATCCCCCAAAAATGTTCTTTAGCTCCTGTTTCACTCCTAGTGATAAAAAATTTCACGGCTTTTTAATGATAGTGTATTTAATTTTGGAATTTTTAGAAAGATAAGTTGGGACAAAAATCTGCCTCCTTCAGCCTGGCCCACATGGTGAAACCCCATGTCTACTAAAAATACAAAAATTGGCCAGGCATGGTGGCGCACACCTGTAATCCCAGCTACTTGGGAGGCTGAGGCAGGAGAATTGCTTGAACCTGGGAAGTGGAGGTTGCAGTGAACCGAGATTGCACCACTGCACTCCAGCCTGGGTGACAGAGCAAGACTCCATCTCAAAAAAAAAAAAAAAAAGAAAAGAAAAAAAAAAAACCCTGCCTCCTTATAAGTTTAACCCACTGGCTTTCATTTTTCATACATGTATTCAATCATTTATTGAAAATGTATTGAGCACTATTCATGTGCTGGGAATTAATAGTGAATATTTGTTCTTACACTCAGGCAATTTACAATTCTTTATTGTTTTGCTCTCCAGAACCACACAGAACAAGACTAATAACATCATATTGGAAAAAGCAAGAGCTATCATATCATGCTGACTTCTTCAGTTAAAACTTCCCAAGTTTTTAAGTATACAAATGGTAATGCCTGTTTCACAAACTCAGAGGCTTTATCTCTTTTATGTTTTCAATGAACCATTCAAATCCCCAGCGCCTTATTTTTAGAAAGTTCAGTCTCTCCTTTTTGAGGCCTCTCCACCCTTGATTGTCGAAGAAACTGAGAGTTCATGTCTTAGACCAAAGGGTGCAGTTCTCTTCCCAATACAAAGGGTAGAAAGTGGAGTCTTACCATTTAGTTAATGCTGTTGCCTTCTACCATAATGTTGTAGCATAGTCCAGCAGACTGAGGCGATTCTCTGGCTGGTTCCAATCCTGCCTGCACCACAGTGGATGACCCATGATTTGGTTCCAGGATTACATCTCTCTTGGTTTATAGTCACAAAGTCAGTCTTCCCCCAAAACTCAAAAACAAGCCAGGATGGCTCAGTCCTGAGGAGCTTCTAAAACCAGGTATATGTTGTCACAACAAATACTCTCCTACAAATACTTTGATCCTTGTCCTAGGCTTAGACATGCTCTCTCTGCAAAGCAGTTTTATTTCAGGTGCCTCACTGCCCTTCCCTGGCACTGAGCCTTTATCAGACTCTGCAACAGAGGTTCCCCCAAGTGATCACCACTCAAACAGTTGATTCACACCAACGCTTCCAAGGTTGTGGCATTCATTCTCTAATGTCCACTCATACAGGCAGCCTTTCTCCTTCCAAAATCTTGCTGCCACTATAGAGAGTTTCATGCTAGCTAAACACAAGTCTCTAATATCCCCCTTCCTCCCCTCCTTAACCCCTCTCCTCCAGGCTTACAGAGTAAAAGAAATCAGTTCTCCTCCAGGATTCCAGCTGTTCGTCCCTCCCATTCCACTGAAAGCACCAGCTTCTTACACCTTCCCCTCTCAGACAGAGCCATCCTGCTTAGAGAATTGTCAAGGGAGGACCCAGAATTTATGCAAAGACTTAGATTCCCTGACCTGTAGAGGAGACCAGAAGAGAAAAAAAGGGATTTTTTTCCCTAGTGAGTATATAGCAGGAAAAAAAAAAGAGATGAGTTAGCCTTTTCAGTAAATTCTCTTGTTACACACATAAAGTGACTAATACTGTGCATTCCATACACACACACACACACACACACACACACACACACAGATCTAGTGGTGGTGATATTTGTAGTGAAGGAGGAAAAGGAAAAGGCGAGCAATGGATGTGATATTACGAGAACAACATGTATGAATGACACTTTATTAGAACTTATCTGGTTTTCCTCTTGTCTCTCTGGCTGTTCCTTCTCAATTCCCTTTACTGGTAACTCTTCAACTCCCCAACCACGAAATGCTATGTGCCCTTAGGCTCAGTCTTTTGACCCCATTTCTACACTCACTTGATTTCCTGCAGTTTCATAGCTTTAAAATCCAATCTTCTTAATGATTACTCCCAGACCTTTCTCTCCTCTACCTGCGAACTTCTATATTCAGCTGCCTACATAACATCCCTATTTGGATGTCTGTAGGCATCTCAAAAGTAACATACAAAAAATGACTCCTGATATTGCCCCCAAATCTGAAACTTCCCCCACACCCAAGTTCTTCCATTCAAAAATGGCTGCTCTATTCTTCCATTTGCTCAGGCCAAAAACCTTGAATTCGTCTTTAATGCATCACTTTCTTTCACACCCCATATACCTTCTATCAGCAAAACCTGTGGGCTGTAGTTATGAAAGATACTCAGAATCTGTCTACTTCTCACCACTGCCATTGTTACCACCTTGGTCCTAGTTCCCATGATAGCCTTGTGAATTATTGCAATAACTTATATTGGTCAGTGATTATCTCACTACTACTGCACAACCCATGCCAAAGTCAGTGGTTTAAGACAATTATCTTTTCTCCTGGGTCTGTAGGTGAGTGGTAATATAGCTAAGCTAGGCTGGACTACAACCGCAAGGTTAGGTTCAGGTCAGCTCTAAGCTGTGCGTTTGTGGGTTGACAGAGGAAGGTCTGCTTCAGGCTGTAGGCCCGAGGGTCAGCTGCAGCACAGTGCCTCTTCTTCACGTGTCCTATTCTGAGCCCCTGCTGAAAGACGTTATCCAGGACAAGCTTTTTTCGTGCTGGTCACAGAAGACAAGCAGGAAAACCCAGCATGCAAGAGTATTTCAAGCTTTTGCTCATATCACTTCCACTGACATCCCATATACAAAAGAAAGTCATCTAATGAAGCCCAAAGTGAGGAGGATGAGGAAGTACACTGTTCACCATGCAGCCATAGCAAAGGCTCATGTGTGCATAATGCTACTACAGGGTAGTGAAGAATTGGGACCAGTAATTTAATCTACCATAATCTGCTTTCTTGATTATAATTATATATTTACCACGTGCAAAAATAGACCCACTCTTATCCCAAAACCCCTAAAAGTTCCATCACATCTTTGAAGTCCAGGATCTCATGATCTACATCAGGTCCAGATATAGTCCTTCTTGATATAGAGACCTGTGAATTAAAAGAGCAAGTATCCTTTTATCACATACAACAAATGATGGAATAGAGACAATAATCACAAAAAATACTGTTATTCACAAAGGGGAGAAATGGAAGCAGGTGACAGCCACTGGTCCATAGCAATTAGGAAACCTCATTGGACAATGCTTGTCAGGTTCCTCTATTGGAGGGAATTATGTTTCATGATTACATACTGTTTCTACTCCCTAAGAATGACTTTCCAGTCTATCTTCCATAGCTCTTGGTTCTGCACTCTAGGGAATCATTCTTTTTCCCTCATCTTCCTTAGTCACTTGCAAAGGACATTAGAGAATATGCCTTTTTTGGTGGATAAATGGGTTCTTCAACCTGCTTTCTGCCTGTAGAAAACTAGAGACAAATAATCTGTTTGTACCTTGTAGAATGTCAATCTCTTTTAGCTGGCACTGGTACTTTTGTCAATAAAGTTCTTTTTTAAACTTTGTGAACTTCCTATGAATTTAGTCACCTCCACATGTCAAAAGGTGTGGTGCACCCACAATTTCTTTCAAGATTTGCCTCCCTTTATCTCTCTCTGTTTCTGATTCTATTAAGAGTGAAAAATTGGCACCAATATTTCAATATATAAAGACTTCTATCATAACTGCCGAGCATTCACTATCCCTTCTTCTCCCAGCTTCCACCATGTTACTCAGGGTTTCCAGAGAAACAGGGCTGATAGGATATATATAGATATATGACTAGAAATTTGTTATGGGAATTGGCTCATGCACTTATGGAGGCTTAGAGAGCCCACAATATGCTGTGTGTAAGCAGAGAACCAGAGAAGCCAGTGGTGTGATTCAGTCTGAGTCTGAAGGCCTGAGTACCATGGAAGCCAGTGGTGTAGCTCTCAGTCCAAGGCAAAAGCCCTGAGAACCAGGAGAGCTGCTGGTGTGAGTCCTGAAGTCCCAAGGCCCAAGAACCAACACCTCTGGTGTCCAAGGGCAGAGAAAAATGGATGTCCCAGCTCCAAAAGAGAATTTGTCCTTCCTCTGCCTTTTAGTTGGTACTGGTACTTTTGCCAATAAAGTTCTTTTTTAAACTTTGTGGACTTCCTATGAATTTGACTACAGTCAACTCCATGTGCCAAAAGTGTGGTGCACCCTTCCCAAGAGAATTTACCCTTCCTCTGCCTTTTCGTTCTACGTAGGTCCTCAATGTCAATCTGCCCACATTGGTGAGGGCAGACCTTCTTTACTTAGGCTACCAATTCAAATGCTAATCTCTTCCAGAAACATTTTATCAGCTATCTGAGCATCCCTTAACCAGTCAAGTTGTCACAAAAAAATGAACCATCACACACCCTTTTCCCCTTTCAACACATCAGCCAGAGTATCCTATTATAATTTAAGTCACGTCATGTCACTCCTCTGTTTTAAATCCCCAATGGCTCCTCATTTCCCTCAGAGTAAAAGTCTTCCTTATAGTCTACGAAACCCTGGCAGATCTTTCCTCCTGTTGCCTCTGACCCCCATATCACTTGTTCACTTGGCTCCAGCCACTCTGGCCTCAGAGCTCTTCCTCAGACATTCCAGGCATGCTACTGTCTCAAGAATTTTGCATACGTTATTCCCTCTGCCTGGAATGCTTTTCCCCAAACATTGCCCCATTCCTTCACGTCTTTAGTCAATGAGCAAAAGTCATGAGACCTTCCCTGAACCACCCCCTACCAAAAACAGCTTTTAAAAAAAGCACTTGTTTTTCTCCTTGTTATGTATCTCCTTAGTTCTAGACACCATCTAATATATTTTGTTTACAGCCTGCTTCCGTCAGTAAAATCTATGCTCCATGAAGATAAAGATTTGTTATTCTGTTCACTGCCTAGTGCCTTTTTTACATACAGTGGGAAGGAGTGAATCACCTCTAGTGGCTCATACAGAAGTTGAAGGAGTCCTAGCAAATCTCCTGCCATCTAATTAGCTTTGATTGGGTAACACATCTATCCTTGAATGGATTATTGAGGCCAGGGGAAAGGAATATGCTAATAAATTTATGCATTTGACTATAAAAACCTGTCCCTGGAGTAGGTCAGTTTTGCCCAAAAATATTTTTCCTGAAAGTGGAGGAAATTTGAAGTCTCCTATAGGAAATAGAGGAATAGAGGAATGTTGTCAAATAACAAATATCCACCACAATCACCACCTGGCTTCTCACTACACTGCATTTGTGAATTATTCATCAAAACCAAAGAGGAGAGACGTATCAAGAATAAAAGGAAGAAAAATGAAACAGCATAGGAGGAGTTAACAAGACATGGGAATGTGGAAATTTGGGTAGCCTGCCACATAAATTGCAATGCTAATGGTGCTTCTTGGAACCATGCAATGCAAAAAGGAGACTCTCCCAAAAGAAAGAGCTTTGGGTGCACCCTTTGATAGCTCAGCTGGTAGAACAGAGGACTATAGGCTGTATAGAAAGAGCTCTGGGTGTAGGAGAGTATGAAAAATTATGAGAGAGGGAGAGAAAGAGAGAACTTGAACTGTTTTAGAAATATATGCAAAATTTTTCTCTGTGGGAAGCTAAGTGTGAGAGTTTGTCAACATGAATTTTTCATAAAACATTCTTATGAACGCTGTACCTCTGGAAAAGGAGTCTTCCGTCGACATCATCAAGCAGTTCTTTTTAATAGACACAAACCCAGCATAATTTGGAGGGAATTTTTCTCTGTTCTACTGTGATATGAAGCTCAGTCAAACAATGTCTCTGTGATTCCGAGATGAACCCACGATAAGGTCTTGAATTGTCACTGTCATTCTGCCTCTAAACTATTACATCATTCACTTTCTTTGTTCTAAAGCAAACTAAACAGTAATTTCCCCAATTCCACAATAAAATTAACCCAATAGTTTCTATACCTCAAAACAACTTGAGCTTTCCCTTTTTTATATAATTTCAACTTTTATTATCGATTAAGGGGTACATGTACAGGTTTGTTACATGGGTATATTGTGTGACACTGAGGTTTGGGCTACGAATGATCCTGTCACCCAGGTAGTAAGCACAGTACGCAATAGTTGACTTTCAGCTCAGTTCCCCCTCTTTGCCTCCCGTCTAGTAGCCTCCAGTGTCTGTTGTTCCGCATCTTTATGTCTATGTGTATTCAATGTTTAGCTCCCACTTATAAGTGAAAACATGCAGTATTTGGTTTTCTGTTCTTATGTTAATTTGCTTAGGAAAATGGCCTCCAGCTCCATCCATTTTGCTACAAAGGACATTATTGCATTCTTTTTTGTGGCTATGTAGTATTCCATGGTATATATGTACCACATTTTCTTTATCTAATCCACTGTTGAAGGGCATCTAGGTTGATTCCATGTCTTTGTTTTGAATATATGAGTGCATGTCTTTTTGATAGAATGAATACTTTTCCTTTGGTATATACACAGTAGTGGGATTACTGAGTGAATGGTAGTCCTGTTTTAAGTTCTTTGAGAAATATCCAAATGCTTTCCACAGTGGATGAACTAGTTTGCATTCCCACCAATTGTGTATAAGCATTCCCACCAAGAGTGTATAAGCATTTCCTTTTCTCCTCAGCCTCACCAGCATCTGTTCTTTTTTGACTTTGTAATCATTGCCATTCTAATCAGTGTGAGATCTATCTCACTGTGGTTTTGATTTGCATTTTTCTGATGATGAGTGATGTTGAACATTTTTTTCATATGTTTATTGGCTGCTTGTATTGTACATCATCTTTTGAAAAGTGTCTGTTCATGCCCTTTGCCCATTTTATATTGGATTATTTGCTTGTTAATTTGTTTTTTGTTTGGGTTTGTTTGTTTGTTTGTTTTTGAGACAGGGTCTTTCTCTGTTGCCCATGTTGGAGTACAGTGGCACTATCATGGCTCACCGCAGCCATCCTCCCACCTCAGCCTCCCAAGTAGCTGGGACCACAGGCTCGTGCCACCACATCTGGCTAATTTTTTTATTTTTATTTTTGTAGAGACAGGATCTTCCTATGTTGCCTAGGTTGGTCTCAAACTTCTGGGCTCAAGTGATTCTCCCACCTCAGCCTCCCAAAGTGGTGGGATTCCAGGCATGAGCCACTGCACCTGGCCTTGTCTCTGATTTCTTTCAGCAGTGTTTTGTAGTTCTCCTTGTAGAGATCTCTGACCTTGGTTAGATGAATTCCTAGGTATTCCACTTGAACTTTCTAACATTTGGAAATATTTCAGCAGATGCCATATTATCTTCAAACTTGGATTTTCCCCTGTAAAATTATTCCAATGTTCTTGTTTTATTGGGTGGGCGGCCTGGGGGTGGGGATAATACAGAAACTAGGTACTAATTCCCTACCTGTAGGTTTCTTGGCTTGAGGATATTTCTAGAGTGCATTATAAACAGGACTAGGACTCTACTTTTATTCCTGTTTTCCTTTTCCTGCTATCTGTAATGAATATATAATCCATTTTGTATCAATTTATGATGTTGATAAACTCATTTCCAATCTGAGGTGCTTTTTACAAATATAGCTACTTGGAGGCCGGACGTAGTGGCTCACACCTGTAATCCCAGCACTTTGGGAGGCCAAGGTGGGCAGATCACAAGGTCAAGAGGTAGAGGCCATCCTGGCCAACATGGTGAAACCCCATCTCTACTAAAAATACAAAAATTAGCTGGGCGTGGTGGCGGGCACCTGTAGTCCCAGCTAATCGGGAGGCCAAGGCAGGAGAATTGCTTGAACCCGAGAGGCAAAGGTTGCAGTGAGCCAAGATCACGCCACTGTACTCCAGCCTGGTAACACAGTGAGACTCCCATCTCAAAAAAAATAAATAAATAAAACAAATATAGCTACTCGGATTGGCAATTATTTATGCCTGTGATGTTCTCAGAAGAGGTTGTACATGCAGAATACAATACTTCAGAATGTGAAATTATTTTCGTGAATGAAATATGCTTCAAAGTAAGCAGCTCTGTTGTGTAGAGCCAAAAAATTAAAGCCTGCTGGGGAGTGATGTTATTGTAACAAAAATTTCAGGAGTCACCACACACTTTGACGAAGGACTATTAACACTGCAAGACCATCAGGTTACCACAGAAAGTGTATGAACTACAACCCTAAGGGGGTCAGATATAATGGGGAAGGTATGAGAATCTGCCACTCTTCTACCCCTGAAGACACACTCCTATCTCAGAAGGCTTCTGACCAAAATGTATAGCATCTTATACAAAAAATTAACTAAGACGGATTAAAGACTTAAATGTAAAACCCCAAACCATAAAAAACCTAGAAGAAAACCTAGGCAATATCATTCAGGACATAGGCCTGGGCAAAGACTTCATGACAAAAAGTATAGCATCTTACACCACTGAAACTATATCACTAAGAAGTACAGTCCAGTTTAATAAACCAAATAACCCAATTTTGGAAGTTATCAGAAAAACTTGTTTATTAATTCCTCGAAATGATAGAAAATAGGCTCACCTGGACCCTTAACAAGCAGTTGGTAGGAAAGCATGATTACTGCAGTGCCGTTGTTCCAGTAATGAGTTTAGAGCCACTTGCTTTTAGATTGCTTGGGCAACATAGTCAATGCTATAATGTGCTACCCAGATATGCCCCCTTCTCCCCACTCTTTCAGGACTTAAAGCTGCCTCTATTCTAAGAACTGCCCTCAGCATTAAATTTGTGCCTTCCCTAGGGGCAGCCCCCATCTAATGCCTAGGCAGTGCTCTGGTACCAGGGTTGATCCCTTACCTCAAATTTAGACAGTTTTGCAGAGCCATCCCAGCTCTCACCCAAGGGATTGGCTAAACCTTTATTGCAACCTTATCGCAGTTCAACCTCATCTATCCTGTCCTGCTTCTCTTCCTTACAGGTATTGTTCCCGAATGCACTCTCTAGTAAACCACCTATGCAAAACTATGCCCAAAAAACCTGACCTATGACTGATTAAGTTGCGAATCTCTGGCATACTTGCACATTTTTAAACCCTTTGCTTCCTCTAATGTGACCTGTATAAAAATTCAATGATAGGCATACATGCTTGTCAGGGGCTAATCTATAACAGAAAAAAATATACATTTCTTCTCTAAATGAATTACAATTACCAAAGCCCCAACTAGTAATGCTATGGATTCAGTTGTGTTTCTCTCAAAATTCCTATGTTGAAGTCCTATAACCCCTAATGTGATGGTATTTAGAGACAGACTTTGGGAGATAATTACGATTAAATGAGGTTAATGAGGGTGGGGTCCCTTATAAGGGTAGGCCCTTATAAGAAGAGACACCAGACAGCTTGCCCCCGACCCAGCCTCCACTCACACAGGCACCAAGGAAAGGCCATGTGAGCACACAACGAGAAGGTGGCCGACTGCAAACCAGGAAGAGAGCCCTCGCCAGAACTCAACTATGCTGGCACCCTGATCTCAGACTTCCAGTCCCAAGAACTGTGAAAAAATAAATTTCTGTTATTAAGTTACCCAGCTTACGCTATTTGTTATGGCATCCTAAAAAGACCAAGATAAGTAACAACTGAACACCTAATATGCACAAAACTTAATACCATGTCAGTGCCTGCCATCTTTTCTGGACCACTGACATAGCTCTTCCTTTCTAATGTTGCTATAACGTACATACCTGAGTGACGAAGGGAAGAGAAAATTGGAATGGATGAGCTGATGGTGAGGGCTCTGGAGTAATTATTGGATATTAAAATGGGAGAAGGGTAGCAATGATCAGTTAGCTGCCACGTTGAGCCTCATATCAGAATTTTCTAGGGGTGACCATTTCTTGATTATTTAGCATCACTTCCACTTTTCCACCTTCTCCCTTTCTACTAGTAACTAACTTTTCTTTTTGTTTCTAGAACATGCATTAACCCAGAACAAAGGTTGACCCAAACCTGGAGATAAATCTAGATTAGTTTAAGCCAATCAGCACCTTCCATCACTCAGCAGCCTGTCATTATTTCTGAACCCATAATTTAGGACCATTTAATTAGGATAGTATTTCACAACCAGGGGTGATGTCACCCCCCAGGAGAAACTTGGCAATATCTGGAGACATTTTCGGTCATCACAGCTCTGTGTGGAAAAGGGGAGTGCTGCTGGCATCTAATGGGTAGAGGTCAGGGATGCCGCCTAACATCCGGTAATGCTCAGGACAGATCCTGCCACAACACGTTATTATCTGGTCCAAATGCCTCGAGTACCAAGGTTTGAGACCAGCCTGGATAACATGGTGAAGGCCCAACTCTGCCAAAAATATAAAAAATTAGCCGGGCATGGTGCCACATGCCTGTGGTTCCAGGCTACTCGGGAGGCTGATTTGAGAGGATTGCCTGAGCCTGGGAGGTGGAGGTTGCAGTGAGCGGAGATTGCGCCACTGCACACCAGCCTGGGTGACAGAGTGAGACCGTGTCTCAGAAATAAATAAATAAAACTGTAGAGGATGAAAAAAGTACATAAATCATGGTCCTTTCCTCAAGGAAAAATAGACATTCACCAAGGAGATAAAACATACATCCACAGAAAAGTTATACCACAAAAAGCACAAACCATAAAAGAAACATCTGATAAATATGATCATATTAAAATTAAAAACTTTCATATATCAAAAAACACCATAAGCAAAGTGAAAAACACAGCACAGAATGCGAGGAGATATTTGCAATTCAAAATGCATAAAATTAACAAATGATTAGTATCCAGAATATAAACTCCCACTCAGTGTAAAAGCTTTGCATGAGAACGGTAAACACTAAATTCATGATAGTGATTATCGTAGGGAAAGAACAGTAAGAGAACAGGATTGAAGAAGAAGGCCTGAAGGACGGCAAGTATATATATGTTTTATTTCTTTAAAAGAAATAAGACAATGCTAAGATTTAATGAAGCTGGATGGTGGGAATATGAATA